CCCATCTGCTTTACTACATTTACTTTTAAACATGCTCTGCTTTATAAACTCTACCAATTCTGACCTAACTCTGATTTGTAAAGACATAAAAAAGCCAGTCATTAGAACAACATGTAATAATCCTTACAAATGATAACCTAATCGTCGCACTCGTATCGGCTCACATCTGCAAGCAGAAACATGGGTCTTCCACTTGTGTTGTCATTAAAAACAGAAACTGTTTCCCCAGCTCCTCATTTGATCCAACCCCCACGTTCAAATCCTTAACCACATAAACCACCCGTTAGCCAAGTCCACCCCATGTTTCGAGAACAAAATTCTTTTGTTGCGATTGTTCACACATTCCTCCCTCGTTGTGTTTATACAGATGCAGCTCCATGTGCTCTCCGGGGTCGTAAGAAGTCCTACACCGCGGCCCAAAGATGTGCTGTTGATCAAAGGCGTTAGAGCTCGAGGAGGAGCGCTCGTTTCCAGTTGTTTTTGTTCCCTCTTTCTTCTTCTGTGGGATACAGGTTACCGCATCCATCTGCTGGCCTCATGTATCCACCTTAGTCAGAGCAGAGGCAAGTGTAGGCCTCTCTTTCTTGCTGTCTCAACCGTGTTTACTCAGCTGGTTTCCACGGCAATCGCCAGGACTTTGTTTTTGCACAGCAACATGTGTTAACTTAATGCTCTGTAATGGATTTCAAAGGCAAGCTTACCAGGTAATAGGGCAATTTATCGATTCGTTTGCTTAAAATTAGTCTTAATTGTAAAAGAAAAATAAAACACACCTCTAAGAAGATTTAGGCTCAAGACAGAAAAAAAACAACAAGCAAACAAAAGCTAACGCATTTTTCCAAGCTGCGCAAACAATTAAAGAATAAGTAAACCAAATAATAGTCAAGAAGACATGAGGGTTAAAGTTGCCTGGCCAGTGTGCTCAGCCCTTCCCATATGTGCTGAATTTGGTTACAAAGTCCCAGTGGTTGTTTTCTTGCTTGATTGGATTATGGCCACACACCTTAAGCTCAGCTTCCACCACCAATCAATGAGGAAATGAGGTGTCAACACTCTGGTGTTTACTCAACACTCATTTATTTTTCTACCGGAAGCTAAGAAAAGCTCGGCCACAGAGGACTGCCAGATGGGCAAGAGGTAGTCTGGTGAAGCGTTTAGAAGAACAGGAGATTATTAACGGCGTTAGTGAGTCTTTATCGTATGGAATTAGTCAAATACACAGTTCATTTTCTTTATTGCGCATTTGCGAAGCACAATAATGTTTTTATAATGACTTCTTAACTACATTAACACGGTGTAACATTACCGAGATATGCTAGCATTTATCTCCGGAGCGGAGACGTGCTTTAAAGCTTCAAGCTGAGCATCCATTTGACAAAGCTAAAAAAATGTTGATGAGAAGACAGCAGAAAGTCTGTAATGCTTCCAGTCAGCATGAGGTGCCATCAACATAAAATTCTGCACAGTAGCCGCCACTTAATACAACCAGGGCAATCGAAAATTCCCCTTCCAGTTATAGACCAATGCCGCTGCATTACTATTGTAGCATGAATGCCAAGCGTCTGCATGGCTTTATGCTCCCTCTCTTAATTGAAAACGTTATAGGGGTGCATTACACTTAGGCTTTTTATAGGTAGTGCTATAAAGCCCTAGCAGGCCCTGTGAGGGGAAACTGCCCATTAACTTATAAGGTCCAGGCCTTGGCTCTCTTAATTGACAACCTCTAGGCTACTTTCATCACTTGTCGACTTCATAGTGGCAGCCAATGCTTCCTCCAGGATGCTGTTGCATCTTTGACATGAGGGTGTTTGTGACAAAGAGCAGTCTGCCGCCAACGCCGCGACGAGAGCTCTAGGCTGTCCATAAAACAAGCACACGCATTCCTTCCAAGAAGGCTGCATTTAACCACTGGGTCACAGAAATACACGACCAAAATTTAGTACCAACACTTTCTGCTTAAGAGAGCCAGCTGTAGTGTATTTCTGCAAAAGAAGACATCCTGAAATGTTAGTCTAGCTTCATATACGCTTAGAAACTTTGAAGTGCAAAACTAAAAAGGAGATAGAGTAACGGTATGCGAAGTCTTCAAGTTAAACAGTGCAAGCACAGTGTTAAACACTTAAAGGCAGACCTACAAGACTGGTGCGAAAATCACTTCACACTTGAACTTAGCAAGACAGTCAGTTTTGTGCCTGTGGAAATTTATGCCTCCTCAATTACACCCACATGTCACAAAGTAGCTGACGGTCTCACAACTACCTCTGGAATATTAAAAACACTCACACAGAAATTAAGCCGTTGTAAGTTCACTCCTCCCACGAAACACTAAAACAGTAGAATTTCTATCAGTAAAACTCCTTAAGTGTAATTTTGAAGGATCATTCAAGATCGGTTCAGTTGAAATGAAATTAATTTTTTTCTAATAGTAAGAACTTTACAAAGATTCTAAAAGTGTATTCACACAAGTCCTGTTAAGTCAACTTTAGTCAAAATTTCAAAGGTTAATTTGGGAAGGTGTGACTACACAATTGAACTCTGATGTGGAACACAAAAGCAAACTTTGGACCACCTAAAAACCTACGTCTTGGTTTGGTTGAAGTGAACTGTAGTGCAGTTTGGGTGATATATGTGAATGCAAGCAGACTGGAAAATGAACTGGTTTTCACAAAGGGTTTGGTTGGTTTAACACAGTGCGTTGTGAAAGCAAGCCATGCTTTCACACTCTAAAAACGTCACAAATGTAATTTTGGTTAACAACTGTATCAAGTCTACTCCGTGTCAGATGTGAAAACCTGACACCAAAGAGAAGAACTTAAGTCCTAGAGACAGGATGACCACTACCTTTTCCATGTCTAAAATTCCTACTTTTACTTTTGAATGTATGGATGGATGGATGGATGGATGGATGGATGGATGGATGGATGGATGGATGGATGGATGGATGGATGGATGGATGGATGGATGGATGGATAAAGCATTTATACAATGGGATTCTGAATAAATTTAAATTAAAAAAATATATGTTTGTGTATTTGGGAGACACTTTCATCCAAACTGATTTACGAATCAGTTTGGATAAAAAACTGGTCTTAGCAGAAAGCCCAATAGCCAGCCTCTGTCAGAGGTGACAGTGTAGAAACAGAGTTTAGCTATAGAGGGAGAGAGAACCTACACTCTACGGCGCAGGTACTCGGGTAAGAGGGATAATATGATGTAAATGAGCAAAAGTCCAGAATCAAACCTGGGCCAGTTGTGTCGAGGGCTGAAGCTTCCTTATGCTGCACCTGCTCTACCACTACCCAGTATTATATCTGTCCAGACTGTATTTTGCTTTTCCATACTTATCCACAACTTGAAAATACTTCAAACCAGAGATGTCAAAGTCCAGTCTTTTGGAGCTGGCAGCCTTGTTTAACTTTTAACTTTCATCCAATACACCTGAATAAAATAGTGAATTATATCTTCAGTGTGACATACGATGATATTTAATTCAGATTTATTGAAACCGAGGCATCTAAACACTGGAGTACACTGGTTCTCAAGGACTGGAGTTTGAAAGTTGTGCTTCAGGCAAATTTTATAATTTTATAAGAACACTTATTACAAAAGAAATAACACAAGCTGATCTTAATGTAGCTGGGCTGCTACTTCAGTTAACGCAAAGAGATATACCTATTAAACTTATAAGTGTGAAAATTTGCAGTCAATGATAATTGTCAAAAATCGAATTCTTAAATATAAGGTCACAAATGTAGAAAATTGTTTATCAAAATCAAACAACTTTTCTCATGTAGCATGAACACTTATGAGAAATCACAGAGCAAGAAGTTATGGCTGCTGCCACACAAAAACTGAGACTCCATGAATGGAAGGTTTGTGACTGCTATTGAAAAGAATGGCAGGTATACTGACTACTGATTTATTCAAATGCCTGTCTGGTTATTTGTTAAGGCTATGTTTATTATCCTCACTTTAATAAATAAAAAGAAACAAATTAGATGGATTTTTTTCCACAGAAATTCTGCACACTTAAACTTTCCCAGTAATTGTTCACATATAAATATTCTCTCAGTAGCACACACAATCTGTCTACTTGCTTCAGAAGGAAGCTATAAGAATTATAAATGCATTAGATTATTATCGTCCAGCCAGTTAAATTGTTATTGCCTTGCACATTTAAAGATTTTAGGATTTAGCTGAACTTAGAAGTCCATTGACAATGTTCAAAGCTTGTAATAAGCTCTTTACTTGTTTTAAAAAAACAACTAAAGGTCAGGATAAATACTAAAAACAACGTTTGGTTATCATATTTCATTTTCTTCTATGAGTTTGTCTAAAGACTTAGCAATAACTCCTGAGAAATGGCTTTTTTGAAAAATATACAGGAAAAACGCTACTATTTTGATTTTGACAATGCTGTGGATACTAAAAGAACTTAGCAACCAGAAATTTTTCTGAAATGTTTAAAAATGACCAAAGTAAAATAAATACCTTTATTTTCTGAAATATATAGGCTTGAAGTGCATTAGCATTTCGTATTACTCCAAGAAATAAATAGCTTAATAATTGTGCACGTACTGTATGTCGAAACATATTAAAGTCGGTCAATTTTAAATTATCACATGACATTAAGGCTATATTGATAGTTGTTTATTTCACATGTTGAATCTGTTAAATATTGCCATGACCAAAGTTGAGTATTGCAACATGTTTACATGACATACATAACCCTTTTCTCCAGTACGTTTCTCACAGATGTTGATTTTAGTTTGACAAAAGCATGTCTAAGCATATTAGTTGTATCGTGTAGCCAAAAAAACCTTTATAAGCATTGTTAATTCAAGTTCAAACCCTACTGAACGCTTCTGTTGAGCAAACAAAGCAAGTGACCTTCAGCCGACCGCTGCGACGTAGCAACAGCCAGAAATGTTGTCTGGAAATGATTTCTACACGCAGCAAAAAACACTAAGAGTTATGTAAACATTCAGAAACAGACTTACTGTGCAGGAAGACGTCTCACAGCTCTGACAATGTGCGCCGCCATGTTTTTCTGTGACGCATGAGGCAACTATGCAGCGATTGGCCTCAAAAGGTTCTCCCACGTGCTGCTTTAGTCATGTGATTGGATAAAGTCGTAAGAGGGGCGGGGCTTGGGCTCCTACAAGCACATGGTGAAGTAAACAGAGAATATGCACAGAACTTACTGGCAGCAAGAGACTGCTTAGAGCAGTAAATCCGTATATTTAAAAGTTAGAGTGAAATTCATATCTTTTTTTTATTATTATTAATATGTGCTGGTTGCCTTCTTTTTGGCTGCCATGTCTCAGAGAGAAACCTAAAAAATACTTTTGGAAAAAAGCTCAGAGAGAGAGAGAGAGAGAGAGAGAGATTGTGGACAAGGCATTTCACCCCAGGAGTTGTCTCTCACAGCAGTGGTGAATTACTACCACCACCATCAGCCAGGTTCTGGTGTTGTGGACAAATGACAGCATGATTTCCCGTGAGGAGGTCTGCAGGGGATTGGCTTCAAATGTCAGAGTTCAAGGGCAGTTTTTGTAGCCTGATTTTAGAAATGTGTGCTGATGCTCGCTTGTCTTACTGTACACCTTGAAAACCAGAAAACAAAATGTTTTCGTTACTTTTTTATGCCATTTCCTATCAATAAGAACAATTTTATGTGCAGAGCCAATAATTTAACAAGATGTGGTCCAAATATGTTGGGGGTTTTTTCAGCCATTGTTTAAGGTAAATTGCTGTCCCAAATGACTTAAAGAATATGAACTGTTGTACAAGAACAGAGATTTTGCAGATATTAATCAATTATCTCTTTAGATAACTTGCAAACAATTAAAAGGGGAAAAATACCATATTACCATGCTTTAACTATATTTTTTGTTATTTCATTATGATTCATAGGTGTACAAAAATTATAGAACAAATTCATTTTGTATGCATTTTCAGACATTCTGCTTGTTGTCTACGGTCATTTGAAGACTGTGTTCGCCTAATATTAGTGATGGGTAGTGCTCCTTTAGTATACAAAGTATGATTCATGGTGCTATTTAAGACTGGAAATATATTCAAGATGGCAAATTTATTTATTTATTTATTTTATTTTAAGCAAGACAAAAGTGTCGGGACCCTCTTTAAGCTCTGCTAGTGCATAGCAACATTTCAGTGGCTTTCTCTCACATCTTTTTGAAAAGAGCTAAATTATATGATGGGATATTTTTAAGAGTTTGAAATCTTAGTATGCCTTGATACCAGAAAACATGCCAAAACAAGATGATTTCAAATAAATATGAAAAAAAAGACATCGAGCTAAAAACAAAAGATCCATTACCAAGAAAAATTGAGAATATTTCAACATCTAAATAAATCAAGGAAAGGTTCAAATCAATTCTTGTGAGGGATGAAAAAAAATGCATCAAAGTAGGAAAATTCCATCTATGGGTTACTTGGAAACTACTTCATTCCCTCCCCCTTCTGTTCATTGAACACAATTGTTGTCCACTAATCCAGTTTTGATAGCATTTGGCACACTTTCTTTGGATCACAGCAAGATGCTCAACTTCCATTCTGGTCTCCCCTAGGAACCTCTGAGCCCGAGAAAGGCAGCCGACACCAGGTCGCGCCAGAGCGGGGGTTGGGGGGCGGGGGAGAGTTAAGGTTCTCTGTGTCCTCATAAAGCACAGAAAATTATTTTTTGATCCGAGTCAACCCCAGACACACGCACGTACACGCGGACCTGCTCGCAGGCTCATCAGACTGGCAGTTAATTTGGGATATATGCTGAATGCACGTTTATTCTTGTCAGTCTGTTCTGTTGTTTAACGTCGCTATCACCTAATGACCCCCCAAAAGGCAACAGAATATAAAATATTATGTCAAAAGGGTAAGCTTTTTTTTTTTTTTTTTTTTTTTTTTCCTTTTTCCCCCTTTTT